ACATGGCTCAGATTTTACTCAGCTTAGTATGTAGACATATTGATCATCTTTAAAAATGTTTTATGTAAGAATGTAACACAATGAACTTGGCCGAGAGTCCTTTGTAGCTGCCATGTTTCTTCCTATAATTATTGTTTCTTTCCACTGTCCCTCCAGCAAGGATTAATACAAGCAACAAAACCCTAAAACCTTAAAATGTGAAAAAAGTAGAGAAACCTTTGCCCTGTAACACATCGTCAGTGAACGGCAAGTCCAAACTGGAGAAGATGGCCAGTGTGGGGAAATCTTCCTTTTAGCTTCCCCTTTGCTGAATAGAATTCACAGGAAGAAAAAACTGTGAAGTACTGCGGAAAGCTGTAACTGTGGGTGGTCCCCTTCCAGCTAAGGAAACTCTCCAGAAAGAAAATCTGTTCCTACACATTTGCACACCCACAGAGTCATATTAGAGAGGAAGTTTCTATGAAGGGCATCCTTGAGGAAGTCTACAAGCTGGGATCTTGTTTTTATTTGATAACAAAACCCACATGGGAGGAAAACCCTTTCTTCACAAGAAACTGAAGGCTGATAGGAAAAGGAATCACCAGTGGGAGATACTGCCTCTGAATGAGTCCTAAAGTCAGTATGATTCCCAAGGTGTCACTAGGTAAGAACATGAGATGGAGAAAGGCTAGCTGAAAAGCTCACACAACACTGAATGAAGACACATATGCGCTATATATGACCTCACTCCATCACACCATCTCTGGAGGCCATGCATCATGTTAAGATACCGGTTTTACTGAGGTGATTCTGAAAGGACAGGCCCTTGGTTTACATGTGGAAGGAAATAGTGAAGAGGAACTGTGTTGGGAAGGGATGGAGAAGAATAGAGGGTGAATGTAATAAAAATCCATTGTATGAAATTCCTAAAGAACTATAAATATTTTAGAAAGTAATCTGAAACAGGATGTTTTTGTGACATATCAGAATGAAAACATCACTCAAACTAAGATAAAGATACACAGATACAGATTTAATATGGTGTGTCTTCATCCATCACTGTTTGGGTCTTAGATGTCCCTCATAGGTTTAAAAGGATCATATTCCAGTTGATGGTACTATAGAAAGGTGGTAGAACTCTTCAGGACCTGAGGCTTAGTGGGAGGATGCAAGGCCTGCATTTACCTAAAGGTGTGGGTACCCCTTTCCATTTTCCCTTCCTGATCACCACAGGGTAATTTCATGTTGCCGCACCACAGCACAGGCACAACAGAGCCAACTGATCATGAACTGATACTTATGAAACCATGAGCTAAATCAAACTTTGCCTCAACTTAACTTTTGGAGGTATTTTGTCAGAGCAATGGAAAGCTAACACATAATCTTAGTACAATAATAATTTATGTTAAAACCATATACGAATTTGGCGTGGTAGCAATCATGTTTTAAAATATTTTTTGAGCAGTTATTAAAGAATCTTTGTATGACAATAATACCTTATGCTAAAATCATATACGAATTTGATGTGGTAGCAATCATGTTTTAAATTAATATTCTAAGCAGAGCTATTGAAAATGAAACACTGGTGTTTTGTTGATGTAAATAACAAGTAAAACATACTGAAGCTTCCAGATACATGAAAATACCTTACTTGGGTTCCTATAGGATAACAAAAAATGCTTTTATAAGAAGTGTAAAGTTGGGGCTAGAGAGATGGTTCTACTGTTAAGAGAGCTGACTGTTCTTCCAGAGGACCTGGGTTCAATTCTCAACATCTTTACGGTGGCTCACAATCATCTACTAACTCCAGTTCCAGCATATCCAACGCCCTATGACCTGTGAGTGAGCATCATACTTACCATATGGTACATATACATACATGCAGCAAAAGCACCTATACACAAATTTTTTTTAAAAAAGTTAAAAGCATAAGTTACTATCAAATTACATTTATTCCATCTTACCAGAAACAAACATTACTGGCAAGGTGGAGTTAGCTTCTGAGGTATTTGGCTTGATATATTCTTTCTATGCTAAGCATGGAACTAAAAGTTGGAGAAAAAAGATAGACATTCTTTTTACTCAACAAATTTTAATGATAAATTTACAGTCCTTATCAGTACTTTAACTGTGCAGTCAAAACCAAAAGGTGTGAAGGAGGAACTAAGGGTGGACTAGGGAGAAGTTAGGAGCACAAGAATGCCAGGACACACTAAGAACACATTTTTGCTAGGCCACAGAGGGAAATTCTTCAAACTCTGTTTTCAACCAACACTTTAGGAATGCCAAAGTTTGACTTTTATAAGGTTTTTCCTTCTTTGGGCAAAACATCATAGTGCACCAGAAACTCTTACAATACTGTTATTCTTCAAGCTTCATGTCATCACAGAGAACCTGTTTAGGAAGCATCCTTTCTTGAGCAGAAAACAGCTATAACCAAAAACACACTGGAAATCAGCTCACAGTAGACAAGCAGCCGATCCAGACAGGGCTCATTGCTGCCATTCAGCCCGGTCCCGCATGCAGTGTTTAACAGCAGCTCCTCTTTAGAGCATTGCACACGGACACACTCTTCCTACAAAGGGAACTCACACAGAAAATATTTTTCTAAAGGTCTTAAAAAGTTGTATTCCATGAAATATGCTTTAAGGCTTTTGTAAAACACTTAGCATTTTACCAGCAGTTGCTATTCTGGATTCATCTATTTTTAAGCAATGGCGAAAAGTTACAAACTTTATAGAACATTGCAGATGTGGATGAGAGTTCACAAACTCTGGGTTTTAGGTATCAGGTGCCAATTTCAGCTGTGCTGTAGAGTCAGCAAAATCTGCTAAGTAAGGTTGCACCACCACATCCACAAACAACAAAAGCACTCGGCAGGTTGAGTTCCTGAGCATGAAGCAGAGGTGGTCACCACATGTGCTAAAGACAGCTACTTACTGGTGTTCAATTATTCCACATTTAGCTTATTTCTAGTAAACAGTCAAAAATGGCTCAAGAAACCACACTGCTTACACATGTATATAATCAGAGCTTTCTTTGAAATTCCTTAGTTTTTGTCTTAGCTAAACAATAATTAATAATCCATGGGTTTCATTTGGTTAGTTTGGGTTTGGGGGACAGGGTCTCATATCTTTTTTTAAAACTGAAAAATTTTTCTTCTTGAAACAAAAAAAAATATTTATGGATTTTTTTTTGATTGGCTAAAGAAATGGGTCACATCATGTTTCACTGTGGCATTTGAGTATCTTAGAACTAAACAGAACCTTAAACTTAAGTCATACAAGGAAGCAAATGGAAGTTAACCGACTAAACCATCTTTATTCACTGTTCAAAGAAATCAGCATTACTCTAGCCTGATGAGACACCTCTTAATCTGACATTTCAAGTCATAATTATTGGTGTCTTTCCAAAAGCACTGAAGCTCACATTATATCTGTATTTTAAAAAAATTCCTTTGAACATGGGCTGGAGAGATGGCTCAGCATTAAGAGCAGAGGGCCGGAGAGTGGTTCCAATCGCCCATATCAGGCAGCTCACAAGAGCCTGTAACTGCACTTCACAGGGCTACACGTCCCCTTCTGACCTCTTCAGTCGACTGCACTCACGCACATACCCCTCCACACACATACATACAAAGATAAATTGCTTTTTAAATCATTTTAATACAATTATTCTGTGTTATTCAAGACATTGGACACAAATGCTCCCCACCCAGCACGGGACAATTACCAGCTCCCAACACTAATATTGAGAAGTTCCATTCACTTCTGTCCACGTTTTGCCTTCTATGGGAAGTTGGATCGTTTTCTCAAACATAACCTAAATTTCAACGAAGAAAAAGCATCCAAAACACAATATACAAAAACAATCCTGTGCTGGGATGTCTCCAAATAAGCAGTTTATGTGAAGGGAACTCCAGGCCCTGGCTCCTCTCACTGCTGTACCCTACCCTACTGCTGAAACACACATTAACCTCACCTATACAGATCTGCATTCTCATGTTTTGTTCTCGATATCCTTTTAACTTTTGATGCGTTAAGTAACTGAGATCAAGAAAAATGTCTGACTGGGTATGGTGATGTATACTACTTTAACCCCAGCACTTCTGAAGCAGAGGCAAGAGGATTCCTGAGTGCCAAACCATCCTGGTCTACATGGAAAGACCCTCTCAAGAAGTGGGGAGGGGAGAGATGAAGGAGAGACTTTAAAGAAGGCATGGAGGACAGTCTGACGAGTACACGGCCACACGTGACTTTCAGCCCTAGGTTGAGTGTATCCTAACTGATGCAGTGGGGACTCTTCACTAGAAATAACACAGGCAAGCGGTGCACACGGACACTCAGTTCTCGTGCTCCCTATGAGATGCTATGGTGCTTAGGAAAGGTGGCTGTCAACAAGCTCTCACCACTGAAATATCTGTCTGCCTATCGCTTTCCCTCCTGTGTTCACTCTCTGGAGCAGTTTCTAGTATTGAAACAATTCTAATTTTTAAAATGAGAATTATATGATGGTAAGAAGTAGGCGAGTCTGAACAGAATGATTTTCTATGACTGAGGCAAAGAAGTGAACACACAGCAAAATAGCCAAGTTTCGATCCTTTATTCTGGTCTCTTCCTCTGTGAGAAAGGCTCTCACTGTGCAACTGTGGCTGACCTGGAACACTCTGTGTAGACCAGGTCCCCCTCAAACAGCCTTGCCAGCATCTGCCTCTGAGTGCTGGGATCAAAGGTGTGTGCGGCCAGCGCCAGCACTCACAGCTCTATCCTTCATTCGTAACATTCCGCTGTGATCTGAGGAGCGCCGGGACAAGCACTGAACACGATGGCAGCAGCTGAAGGACCACCAGCTGCCGCGCGTGCTGTGCCAGCTGTGCCAGCTGTGCCTCTGAGCTCCGTCGCTCTCTTGCTACTTCGTTTCGTGCAGTGCCAACCCTACTGTTTTCCCAGTAGAAAAAAAAATAAGTATAGAAAACCAACAGTGTCAGGTGTGTATCTGCAAAGTCTCAATTTCTTAAAACGTAAGTCTGAGTATATTTATTTCTCTCAAATGCATACAAGACAATAATTACACAGCAACAAATCTTTTGTTCAACAGTGACTTGATTCATAAGCATTTAAAATTTACATAATTTCACAATGATACCCTTTTATTTTTAAATACAATACGTAAAAAAGCCCCCCAAATAACCAATTTTTATATTTCCTATTTATCCTTCTATACATCCAAACTTTAAAAAGTTACAAACTGAACAATTATACAGAACATATAAATCATGTTTAAAAACTTGAGGTTTTAAAATCACTGCTTCCCCAGTAAGATTCAGAAAAATTCTCCTATTGACACAGTCATAGATGCCAAAGCAAACTGGAGGAGGGAAGAAACAGACAGACACAAGTTTGCTGTCTTAATAGTTTACTAATCCTGTCAGTTAAAAATGGTGATGTGGTGAGAAATAACAGCTGGGGTTTAATATGAGGAGTGGAGTTGCCTCGGCCTGAGACACACAGTTCAAGTATTTTCCTATTTGATCTGAGCTCGCTTTAGCAAACTCGTGCCAAAACTACCTATTTTCTCCCATACATCCGCTCAATGTCTGCTTGGTAATGTGTCTTAAGTTCTTTGCGTTTCAACTTGAAGGCATCCGTCACCAGACCAGTTTCAGGAGTCCATGGGTCAGGGCTCAAACGAATTTTTACTGGAATTTCAAACTTTTCCAGACTTGCTGTGACGAAAACAAAAGAAAACACAGCAATAAGAACCCCCACACATTAAGAACACCGTCAAAGCTCTCAGCAAAAAGTACAGTTCTTTGAGGCATACCCACCAAATACCCAAACAAACAAGCAACCCATCAATACCAGTCTCACTTCTCAACCTCAAACATACAAGTTTCTGAGACATGAGAACTATAACAGCAAAAACCATTTAACAAATTAACTTATCTATAGGAGAATCAATTAAATAAATGATATAGGTATAAAATGGAAGGCAGTTCTGTCGTTAAAACAATCGCCTCTATGTGGGTCTACACCCCATTACTGAGCTGGAAAAGTGCAGCATGGAGCATTAACAAGACAGACACAGACGTTTACTACTGAACAAACAATATTAGTCTTTGACAGAAAGAAAAGCAGAGGCCTCCGGGCAGCTGAACCCTTGCCGGGAGCAGGAGCCACTCTCCAGTGGTATGGTCACTACTGCGATGCCCCTGCTCCTTCAACAGCCCCTTGTCCATGCTCCTGTAAGCCGCCCAAATACAAAGAAAGTACAAGTGGAACTAGCTGGAAAGAGCAAGGAATTGAAGGACAACATAACAGGGAATAGTCAAAATACATCATATGTAGGTATGAAAATATCATGAGACCTGTTATTACATATCATTAACTAGTCAAATCTTTAAAACACAAAAAGAGGTTACAGGACACCCAGTATAACATACTGGGACCTTTCACCAAGGACTACTGTGCCCTGAAAACAGCAGTGCCCTGAAGAACAGCAGAGAAAAGGCAAAAGCTAAGAGGATGAGAACAGCTAAGGGGCTGTAAATCCCAGTTTGGCACTTCATGGTTGCAGAGATTTATATTGTCAACTTAGTAAGACCTAGAGCCACCTGGGAAATGGAAGAATGCCTATCATGATTAGGTTAACTCAAGTGAGAAGATCTGCCCACTGTGAGAGGTACCATTCCCTACGCAGCATAAAGAGGATGAAAGCTAGTTGAAAACCAGCACTCACCTCTCTGCTTCCTGACTCTGATGCAATGTGCCTGGTTCCCTCGAGCTTTCTGCCACCGTAACCTCCCCACCACGATGGACTGTACCCTCAACTGGGAGCCAAACTAGACTTTCCCTTCAGCAGCTTTTAGCAGGACATTTTATTATAGCAACAGGGAAAGCAACTAAGATGCTGAAAAACTCCACATTACATAGCCTCATACACATTTTTACAAGAAATTACAAATTTTTTTAACTTAATTTTTAAAATATCAGTTTAGAGCCAGGCAGTGATGGTATATGCCTTTAATCCCACCACTCAGGAAGCAGAGGTAGGTAGATCTCTGGTGAGTTCAAAGTCAGCCTGGACTACAGAGTGAGTTCCAGAACAGCCAGGGCTACAGAGAAACCCCGTCTTAGGAAGAGAGGGGAG